TAGCCCATACAGTTTCACACAGTTACACAGAGATATTTCAAGATAACCAGACGAGTATTTTGACTGAAAATTCTTGCGAAAAGTTAAGATGGGTTATAGTTACTTAAAGATATTTTAATCTCTTTTTCAGTGTGCAATTTTCCATCTTTCCATCAATGAACCGAGTGGCTGAGTATTTCAGCACATGACGCTATGAAAACCACGTTGTAGCAGCTGCTAAGTCTCAAACATTTTTCTTTCTATAGTTTCCCCAGAAAGTTCCCGAATAATTAAAAGCCTTGGCATGTCTGCCCCGCTGTTGGAACATGCCTTTTAACATGTTCAACATCTCGCACGTAATTTTAAATAAAGTGGGTATATTGACAAAAAGATTAATAGCAAGTAATAATTACCGATTGATTGATTTTCCGAATGAATTTAACGCGAGTATTCGGTATATTTTCATATGAAGAAATTTAAATATGACGGAAAGAGTGCGAGAACGAGACATGTTTTCGTACGATATTTTAACTGTCCCCCTTTTCCTCTCTTACTTCACTCAATTGTACTACCGGAAACGCATTTGACCTCTGCGTGGCGCGATTAACTGGCGCTTTGAGAGGTTCAAATTTAATCTCCGATGCTTTAGGGAGCACGGTGAAGCATTCAGCTCTTAATTTTCCCTCACGGAAGATCTGTGGACTTCGTAACCGAATGATTGTTTCTCGGGTACGAGCCAATCCGCCAGCAAGGAAACGAAAGAGAGGAGTAGTTAGTCACGTACAAAGCAATGACTCGCAGCCACCTACGGCTTTTCTGTCTATGTTCCTTTCCTTTGTCCGTCTGTTTCAGACGATCGGATATTTTACAGAGCGAACTTTAATTTAAGCCGTGACTGTCAGCAATATCTCTCTCTGTTGTCAATGCTCCCAGGGCGCTCAAGAATCTAATATAGGCTGCGCGATTCATGCGCATAGCAATCGAAGCGCGCTTAGGGAAGATGAAAAGAAATAGAGGGATGTTGCACACATCATTGAAAAAGATATTTGGGAGAAACAAGTATTTTTTAGCAGATATAGATGAAAAACGTAATAACTTCTAATGGACAGGTGATAAAATATAGCAGTACTTCTTTGCATCTCTAAAATTGGAAAATAAAGAAAAATAAAGAGATCCGTCGAAAATTATATTGACAGAAGAATATCTTCCAAAAAGCGAATAAGATAATAGCGAGAGTTAGTTAAACTGATAAAAAACATTCCAGTTATCATTATTCCACTAACATTCCAGTTAGTCATTATCAAAATTCCTGTAACATTTGTTATTTCTCTGCCTAAGATTGATAATACTCATAACGCGTTCATATATTTTATAATTATCTTTTCATACATTCATACACACACACACACACACAAACATATAGTGTGCGCTTTTTATCAACTGTTAGATTAGTTAAATTTCGTTTTTGCATTATCAGAACATATTCGGAACATGTGGCCAAAGCAGCTGAGACTGGATCAACAATTTAATCACGTCTCTGCACTAGTCGATGATTAACGACCTGTTAGTAATTAATCCCTATCCAGTAGTCGGAACGATCCCTATGAAAGAGCCAATGAGAGAGGGAGGGAGGGAGAGAGAGAGAGAGAGACAGAAGCAGAATGCGAGATTAATTAGTTCAGAGATCGCTCGAGTGCGAGGGTTCAACAGGAAGATCATTTCACTGACCTCGGCTTCGATATCGATTGTTTCAATCGAGTTAGAAGAGAAATGCTCCTATATAAATCGCCGTTTGCTTCGAGTCATTGCGTACTTTGCCCCTGACTTGACCATCTTGAGAAACAATTCGTCAATATGTAGCAGATAGTGTAAGCTTTTTATACTGGGAGAAATACTGGCCCTATTTTTCTTCCTTTTCACGCCCCAACTGTAATTATTCATTCGCGTACTCACGAAGAAGACTTACAACGACTCGCACTCCGAACGAGATTCGCTTCAAATGTATTATCTCACATTATTTTTAGGAGACCTCTCCTTAATCACTTCTTTATACGAATAAATCGTTCGACATAAGCTTCGTTTTATAATCCCCCTGGCGAAAATTGAAATTGGAAAGTAAATAAAGTGTAAACGAAGAGTGTAAGGAAAATGTAAGTAAAGCGTTTACAAAGCGTAAATTAAAACATCGGAACGTAAAGCAAGTGGGTACGCTTGGTTTACGTCCCGATGTTTCAATTTACGCCTTGTAAGCGCTTCACTTACACTTTCGTCATTCTTCGTTTACAATTTATTTACTCTCCAATTTCAATTTTCGCCAGGACCAAGTAACTCCGGTTTATTGAGAAATTTACCTTAATTAATGATGTAACTTTAATTCACAAATTGTATTGCGAATAAATTTTATATAAATTAATTAATTACCTTATATCTTCTGTCGCGGCAAACTTCTTCGAGTTATCAAATTTGTACCCGCGCTTCTTTTCTCAAGGCGCGATACGTCGATGATAAACGAGACCGGAGATGAAACTTTCGCGACTTTCGGGGCGAGTTTGTACTGCGTATTTTTCGCGTCCAAGGAGACACGTGGCGTTCAGACGACTGGCGTCGCGACGAGCGACAGCGACGATGTATGGTTGCCTTTTGGAGCCCTCTCTGCCCTAAGACTCTCTCTCTCTCTCTCTCTTTCCCTCTTTCGCTCTCTTTCTCTCTCTCTTTCTCTCTCTTTTTCTCTCTCTTTTTCTCTTTCACTCTCAGGCCATCCTTGTCTTTCCTTTCCTCTACCAAGAGAGCGTCTCGATCGCTCCCTTCTCCGAGTAGAGTCCCCACCATTTTCTACGAGGGAAGAAAGCCCCCTCGTTGCGATGAGCAACTATGGATAGTGATAGCACTCGTGTCGATTCCAACTTACACCGGCGAACAAGTATTCGTACATATGCTTACCATATCACACAATTAAATATATGCTTACGATAAGAGCCGATAAGAATTGATAAGATTAGCTCTCCCGTCCTTTTCGCCAACACAGTAGATAAATTTACTTCTTCAGCCACGATAAATCGTGTAACTAAATTAAATTCAACGCGTAAGAAAATCGCCTATTCCTGTGATTTAACTCGACGAGAGCCTTGATTTGTTGTCAACAATAATATTAAATTCTGGACTCGAATAATATGTTTTGTAACGAGAGAAATCGGGCGTGTATATATATATATATATATATATATATATATATATATATATATATATACACAGCATTTTGCAGAATGTGAAAACGAGTGTTGAAAATTAAGAAATAAAATTTTCCTCCAACTTTTTGCGACAATCGAGAGCGCGCCGTTTTAACAAGAATTTTTATAGGGTTTCGGCGCCATCACTACCTATGGAGTAGGTTTCCGATCCTAAAGGGCCGTATCGATTGTCTCGAGTGCCTGGCTGCGTGATTCGTGCTGACTATTGCGTGAATTTACGCGCATCCGACGCACGCGTAAGTTTTGAGTTAATCACGGGAAAGAACGCGTCGTGTCTATTCAAACTCTAGGGGTGATTGAATGATAGCCGTCGAGGAAGAAAGGGATCATGTGCCTGAGAAATTTGAAGCAACGGGGGGCGCGCTATAAATTTCGAAATTGCGACCCACGAGTCGTCCGACTCGTGAGTCAGGCTTCCGCTATCAGTCACGTTAAATTAATTATACAATGCTGTTGATTTTACAATGTCACTCACTGACTTAGTATCACTGTGTGACGTTATAATTGTTGCTTAAGGGGACTGGAGAATTAGATTGCCTGAAAATCGTGCTTGTTCTTTCATAATTTTTTATGACAAACTGAATGAATATGCAAAAGTGTTATTTTGATGTGTATTTATACAACATATAAAGGGAAGAAAAATATAATTTTAATGGTCAAATACTCAATATAAGTGTAACCACTGACAAACTAGTGAAAATATTTAATTTTGAAATATTAATTTTTTTACTATGAAAGAACTGGAAATTTAATAATATTCGATTAAGATATTTGCAATTTTGTTAACTTTTATTTAACAATTTCTATTATAGTCGTTCACACGATAACGACAAGCTTACGGAAATTTTCTACTTAAAATTCAACTTAATTGAACCACTGAGAGCCAAGATATTACTGCGAAATGACGACCTTAAAAAGAAAAACGAAATATATTTTAACTGCATGTACCATACACTTATATTGAGTATTTAATCATCAAAATTATATTTTTCTTCTCTTTATATGTTGTATAAATGCACGTCAAAATAACACTTTCGTATATTCATTCAATTTATCATAAAAAATTGTGAAAAAACAAGCACGATTTTCAGAAAATCTGATTCTCCAATCGCCTTAATAAAAAAAATAATAAATATAAAGTATAATTAATATAAAATAGTGAAATAATATTTAATGAAATAATATAATATTTAAGAGAAATGTATTAAAAAATGTGATAAAAAATAATATATAGGATTACTCGCTGTATAATTGGAAATGTTATAATTGTTACACCATTTTAAATGTAATAATATTAATATATGACGTTATTATATCGTGTTTCCTCCCAAATTACAGGATTTCCCAAGTTTATAATGAAATTTAATGATTTACATTTACAAAAACATAAACGTCGAGATGTTCAGCAATATTAATAAACGAACGACGGGAAAATGTAAATCCAAATGTGTCGCGACAGATTTCCCATGCATATTATTTCATGCGCGTTATTATCCTTGCGTTGCTTTTATATGGCAGAAATTTAAATTAAATCTCCCGGAATACAATATAAATCCGCATCGAGAAAGAGCACAATATGTCCCATCGCGCGGTACAATGCACATATAATCATAAAATATGCATACAACAAAGTATATAGACGAATATAACAGAGTACATCGGATTTTACCCTTCGTAATAAAGGAACGTCAGAGGAACATAATGGGGATTCATTTTGTTGGGAGAAAAAAGTGAGAGAGAAAGAGGAAGGAAGGAGAAAAAAAGTTCTCTTACCTACGCAATCAGGTAGGCTGCTAGCGGTCTCGTTCCACTTGCCATTCCTGCACTCGAGCGTCCTTTTTCTGTCCTTGCTGTCGGGAAACACGCTGCCCGACTTGCATAGGAATGTCCGCGAAGTCAATGTACCGTTCGACACGTAACTTCCGTTCGGCGCCGAGATCTCCGGACAGCCTAGCACTGCAAGCGAGTTCATTTCCACTTTTACCTCCTTTGCAATTAACATCCCGCTCCTATCTTAAAGCGCCGACACGATCTGATATCGCGGTGCCCGCCATGCAGAGAGTTTCCATTATACAGGGACTTTTCGCGCGACTCCCCCGAACATCGGCGACAAAGACCGCGGAGAGAGACCGGGCTAAGTAGGTCGCTCTCACATCGGAGTTCGATTTAATTATTAAGAGATCAAGCCGTCGGGATATGGCTGATGAGAGATAATTAACGACGGAAATTGCGAGCACAAAACGTGCACTTAATATGAAATTTCGCTCCTCTCTTTTCTCTTCCTGTTTTTTTATTCTTTTTTATTCGCACATGTAACACGCGACAATTGAATTCTACTTTTCACGATCGGTTAATGTTAAGCCAGTGTAACTTGTCGACGATATCACCGGTACGTTGCAGCACTCACGCGACTAAGAAGAAGAGTATTTCTTCACACTCTTCGAGAGTAATAGAAGCTCCGAAGTTTTTCCATTCAGTTGGCCTCGTTATAAATGTAGTTTACCGTCGAATACACTAGGGAAGAAGAGAAAGAGAGAGAAAGGGAGGTAGTCCCTCGGTCACAAGTTTAATCTCTCTCGAGAGCTCTGACGTCGGTTCCATTTTTAGAATATAATCTCAACTTATTTCTGGGAACGTTAAGCGTTATCTGGAGCACAGTTGAGGAATTCTAAAACACTTGAGGCTTCCTCCGGGCTTCTATTAATTACAACAAAACGCTGATTTCGCGCGCGGGCAATGCACTCGACTTAACTTCGCGGAAACTTTGCTGGGCGAGACGCGAAGACATTTCCCGCCAACGTCACTCCCGAGTCAGTGATCATTACGTAACGACCCGCGTTCGCGACCTTATACTTCCCCACCTCACCGAGCAAGATTTTTTCCCGTTTCTTTCGCGTTTTACCTTGATAGTGCAGCAGGAAGCCCCGGGCGTTGTGAAGTCTCTTGGAAGCGACGAAGTCGAGCGTCAACAGATTCGTGTTCGAGATGACCCGAACTCCGGCCGCGGTGCCGCAGAACTCCAAGAGAGTGCTGCCTTCGTCCCGCGCTCTCACGACGTCCACACAGCTTCCGTCCGCCCGCGGACCTGCGGCGATTTATATTTGCAGTTTCTATTTAGGATCCGCGGAGAGAGAGCGCGCGTAAATCAAGCTCGTTTATTTCTCCGACGTTGATCGACGCGGTCCGGAGATAGCTTTTAACCCCTTGGCCCGATCGAAGGCTTTTGTTGTCATATGCAACACATCTGGCAGCTAGATACTTGGTTTTTGTCGTAAACTGACGTTATACGTCAGCGAGTCGTTATTCATACGGCGGAGAGAAAGATGGAGATGGTCACGGTGTGGATAATGCGGGCGCTCGCGCACTTTTAAGTAAAAGGAAAGTAAACTTCAAGATAGTACAACATAGTAATATCGCCAGCTGCATATATTTTTATATTGTTTTATATTATTTTATATTATTTTATATTTTTTTCGTATATTCCTCTATATTTTTTCGTATATTTCTCTATATTTGTATATTCCATACTTTTTATATTTTATATTCGCGCGCGCTTCTTTTTGAAAATTTTCCTCTTTACTCGAGCGAAAAATTTTATCGGTTTATTTTTCGCAGTGAAATGAAAGCACGATGATATTGCGTTTCATTTCTGGCTATCTAACATTGCACGCAATAAATTTTTCAATTCGTTCGCCAAAAGCAAGCGAAATGTAGCTTCAGTCTCTCATCTTCGCCAGTAAAAGGGGCTCCGATTTTGATCGGTTTACGCGTTGCGCTCTCGCGGCAAAGTTCAAGCGATCGAGGGTTGCTCGGGCGCAGGCTTACCGAGGATATTTAAGTCGTGAAAGGTCAGAACTATTCTCTGTCCCGGAAGCGTCGTGAAGGTCCACCCACACGTGATATTTCCGAGGTAGTATAACGGGTAGCCCGGAGTGTTGATGTAACCTCCCTCCCCGGCGATCACCTTCACCTCCTGGTTGCAGTATCGCCTAACCGCGGCTTCTGCAATCAATAATTAATCTTCGACTTTGTCGATACAGCAACCTACATTTGCGCGATGTGTGGTATCGCTTCGTGTGCATATGGGTGCACTCGTGAGGAAACATTTCGACCAAACGTGAGATAAATTTCCGGGCACGCGTCCATACACTTCGCTCATAAATCGATTAAACTCGTTAAAACTTAATCGCGTTATCTCGCGCAGAATATATTAAGTTGTATTATTTCCATTATTATAGAACTGTTATAATATCAGAAAAATAATGACGGCGGATTAATAGAATTATGCTCTTTCTCTTTCTCCCCTCGCTTCCAATAATTCAAAACGATTTGAATCGCGAAGTTATCGTTGCGTGTAATACGGGTGGATAAATTATAACGCGGAATTATTCCAACGATGCGTTCAATTCTGACACGCCACAGGCGCACTCGCGTTCCCGTTAATTCAACGCCACCCTCTGGATACAACTGCCCTCCAATTAAATCCCCCCGTCGGATAACAAATCATAACGCTGGCTGGCAGTTTTCTCGCTTCGAAAGGAATTATTTTCGCGAGGGCGGGAAAGGTGCTGCGGGTACAGCCGCGTCGTCGTTTCTACGCCGCCTAACATAAGGCCGCATTAACATCTGCATCCGTCGCGGTCCATTTGTCGCCGTGCATTTGACGCGATTGCGGGACCCTTTATAGCGTTGCAGCAGGCGGCCAGGCGGGCGAGGGTGTCCTTGCCCCACTTTCATGGATAGAGTCCGCTCGGGTGGTATCTGCCCGTGGTGGTAATAAGGGCAATGCAGGGGAAGTTTGGCCCTCTGTCCTCCCTTGGCCCTCCTGCTCCTCCTCCTCTTCCTCTTTCTCCTTCACCTTTTCCTCCTTCACCTCTTCCTCCTTCACCTTCAGCTGCTCCTTTTGGCGTGCAACGTCTGTGCAACGTCGTTTCCGATATTCCGCCAAGTGTGACGACCTTCGCGGAATGTTTTGTCCTGTCGAGCAGCGAGCCGTTTCCGTGTGTTCGATCCGTCGGCTCAATCGAGCGTTTGTCTTGGCCTAATGAAAACGCCTTTCGTTCGATCGAGACGTCTCGGGGCTCCAGAATTATTTCTGGCGTCGGTGCTTCGGCAAGCGATTCGGTTCGGTAAACTTTACGCACTTGAAGGAAGTGAGAGTATAGATTTCGGAGATATGAACTGCCGAGAATTCGCGAAACCGACAATTCCTTAGAAAAACCACTGATGATTAGATTAATAATTAAAATGTCCATAAACTCAGCGCGGCCTAGAAGTTCAGATTGATCGATTTCCTACCGATTCCTACGTTGTTTAGGGGGAAATGATTGCGTGAAACGAATGTGAGAGAGTCCATATGAATGTAATGATCCAACAATAAAAAGCCCATAAGTCGAAAGGGCTCACTTGGAGTAACTGGCCATGTACAAACACACGACGTCACATCATCTATTGCACCATATGTCATTCTATGACGGGTGTTCACGCGCGATTCCTTGTTTCTCACTTCCGACACATGATAAATGACCCTTTTCGAGTCCGAACGAGAGGTGGAACCTCCGTTCGATGACTCCGCGTATTGTGCTTTTCTCGCGCACGTGTCGCGTGACAGCTTCCGCGTCCTCTCGCGCGCTTCTGCGCTACGTGCGCGCCCCATAGAACACCAGGATTACGAGTTTTTCCCAGTCGTTCACCGGCTCGTACGCGCACGTTGCATTCGGGCTTTGTGCGATTGGATGCGCCGTTTCTTGCCGGTTGGTCACGGGGGCTTCGGGGAGAATTTCCTCGCGCATATGCCCGCGATCCCACGGTCAATAAAGATCGTGCCGAGCGTGCTTCGCCGCCAGCTGGGGGGCGGACAACGGCCGCGGCCGATCGAAATCAGAGGCCGATTCTGTCGCGAACGTGTACCGCGCGTGACGTGTCGCACGTACTTGCAAACGCGTGCACTTTCCGCTCGCGTGATATGTGCGCTCGTGGGCGACGACCCGAGCTTTATCGACGTTGCGGATCATCGATTCCGCATGCCCGCGTATCGATCGGACACGTGCAAAGAAGCGCACCCGGCTTTTCCGCCGATGGACACGGTCAGATTAGGAAGAATGCGTGAGTTGCAACAAGAGACCGTCGATAATGCATAATACGTGGCAGGAGTTTGGAAGTAATTGAAGTAATTGAAGGAATGTCGGAGGAAACGCGAGAGAAAATTAGAAGGCTCTCGATATTTTCCCCCAATTGCCTCCACTTTCCCTCAAATTACTTTTAATTTTCTCTTCTTTGTGCGGAGATAATTCCGAGAAAGTTGGAGATAACGAGGAATTCAAAAATACGAGAGACGTACGGCAATATTATTGGTGCAATTAAGTGAATAGTTGTTTGCTCGTACTCGCGGCTTAACAACGCGGAGCGCTTATGCAGACGAGCATTACGAAGTCCTTCGCGAAAATGGTAGACCGAGGGGCTTTTATTATGCTTTCGAAGCGCTGTGGGTGCACGCGGGGTGATTAATCACGCTCTTAATCACGATATCGTAAGCTCTGTTAATATACTTACCGGGTATACAGGCGTATTTTAACAGGATTCCACCTGGGATCCAGGAATGTGCGCCCGGATGATCGATAGTTATGTTGTAACGACAGTGTTTTTGACCCGAGCACCTGAAACGTAGATGATGTGTTGAGTTAACGAAAGACACTTTGAATCAAGTAAAAGTAATTGGGGAATAACATACCCGAGTCGAAATTTTGAGTTGAATTCTACACCGCAGTAGAAGCTAAGATAGCAAATTAGGTTTAATTCTAATTATATAATTTACTTCTACTTTGACCTTGATGATGTCTGAAGTTTTTGCTTTCGCTTTCTTTAGCGTCAAAGTAGGTTGTATAATAGTAGGATCTTAGAAAGCAAAGTAGGTTCAGTTGCGAACTTCTATTGAAGCTTTAACTCCTACATAGAATATATATATTTTATAGAAATATTTAAGAAATTTAATAAGTAACGAAACAGAAACATCAAATAGCATACAAAATATACATTTTATCTGTTGCATATATTTCAGACATCATTAGGTCAAAGTAGGAGTAAATTATATCATTAGAATTAAACCTACCACTATAATTCAAAGTTCAACATAGGGTCAAAATTTCGACTCGGAAATGAATGTCAATATCGTCAAGATAGGTTTTATCTAGATTGTAGATTATCTAAGTAGGCGCAAACTATCTTTAAGATAGTCAAAGTAGCATCAAAGTTTCGACTCGGGTAGAGAGGATGAAACAAGAGAGATATGGAGAGTAAAATCAGGGAATATGAAGCCATAAAAAGAGACATTCAGAGAGATGCCGTCAAAATTACGTTTTCGTTAATTGTTTGAACGACCGCTCCCTTAACACAAAATTGTCACTCCGAGCGTGTCTTGCGTCATATTTTTTTCCACGTGAATGAGTCGCGCGACTTTCGAGCGAAGTTTCGCTTTCGATACTATCGATTGTCCGACAGCCGCCAATTAAATAAGCGACGTCGGTCATTAGGGCCTGCGAACGCGCTGACAAAAGCAACCACCCTCCGGCATTTTCTAGGGGGATGGAATGCAGGGGTGGGTCCGCGATTGTTGCTGCCCTGCGATCTTTGTTGTTAGCGCCGAAAGCGGGAGTGAATAATGAACGAGGGTGGATTTTCACCCCTTTTAAGAGGCCTCGCCGCTGGGTCGCGCCGCTGACTACCTCTCCTCGTCGATTTTATCGGGCCGCGAGCGGAAATAAAAGGGAAATAACATTTCAGCCCTGTCGTACGTTCGCCCTCGCGTGGAATCCCTTTGAATTTTTCAGGCCGCCGGCGAATTCTCAAATTGAAAGTTGCGGGTAGTGTCTTCCAGGACGGTGAAATCGTCCTGTTTGCCGATAATGCCTGAAAAATTTAAATACCGTGTCCGGGGATGGAGTGTCATAAGAAGAGCAGCAACCCCGAATTAATATATGAAGTGCGAACGAACAGATGATTCGTTTCTCTCTCTCTCTCACTGTACTCTGTGAAATATTACTAAAAATTATAAAACATATAAAATTGCTGCGCCATCGCATGAAAAAATCACGCTTTTGTTATATACAGTTGCATTTTTATTATCTCTTGTTGTTAACAATAACTCGGAATAATAATTGTTTCTGCAGTAACAATCACGTCGCAATTTTATGACGTTTCAATTTTTTTCTCAATTTTGGGCTCTAAAGAATGCCGGTTATTTTGTTATAAATGTTTTGCGCTCTTCCGGGCGCGGACGAGTTGGTGCAATTTCAGCGATGCAAAATTTGCACAGCTCGCATTGCCATCCCCCATTTGCGGGAATTTGCGGAGCGTGATGCTGTGCAAACGCGGGGGACCATTTAGTCAGAGATCGTTTCTCCTTCGGCGATCATCTGACGCGCATTTCAAGGGGGAAATCGCGGGGGATCAGCGGGGGGCAGCAATTATTGCTTCTGGAATGCTTTTACCCTCGCACATCAAACGTCGAGATTTCACTCGACCCTTGACGGTTCTCGAGTGCGCGACAAGCAGGCGGATAAAAACGGAGAATCGGGGGTGGTTCGATCAAGTGGCAGTCTCGAACGTTTCGCAGTAGATAATATTGTGACTTTCCTGCGCGGATCATATTCTCGAAATATGGGAAGCGGTCGAGACGTCGCGGTTGATATCGATGTTTCCTTGCCGTCCTGTTCACGTCTGTTTGTCCTGTTTATCTTTCATGTACCTTTCCCCTGACACTTGACAGATTAATTATTTCGACGTGTATTATTGTACCTTGTAATTCATTTAAGCGTCGCTAATTTCTCTCGTAGCGCACTTTGGTTCGTTAACATGCAATATTAATTGTTACCCCACTCTCTCGGTCTTGCGACAAACATAGCTTCGCTTTAACGCGCATGTTTACTGCGCGTTAAAGTTGTTTGTGATCGGAAGCGAACGTTGTTTTCTAGGACTGCGGTTAACCTCGGACTTCGGTCGAAATCGAACACACTCTTGTGTCATTGAGTGCCTGTATTATGAACAGAAATCTGATATCACCAGCGGGGACCATGTAAAGTTCTACCCCGCCGATTAATTGGTAACAGAGAGAGAGAGAGAGAGAGAGAGAGAGGGAGGGAGATGAAAAAATAAGACGAAACAATTCTTTTATTTAGAGATATAAGCACCCGATGAAGGTAACGACAAACAATTAATTTTGACTCGAATTTAAGGGAATAAATCATAAATTCAAAAAACAAGTTCTTAAAAAGTACGTTAGATAGCTTCGGATTTGTCTTAAATTAGCTTTACCTCCTATTCAATGACAATCTGATATCGACGATATCCATTCCTCCGTTCTCCTCGTCAAGAACGTAGTTCCCTTTGAGATGCCTCATGTTTAACCACCGTTGCATGCTATCTTTCTTCAACATCCTGATATTCTCGTACTGTTTCGAGTCTTTCGCACAGAGTTCCGTACGATTCGCATGATATTCCGCTTTCAGGATGAAGATGAATGCTTTGAGCGACCTGGAAATACGAGGCTGAATTTATACAACCTTATGTTTTTTTTGTTATATATTTTTATATTATTATATAACTAAATCTAAATAAAAGTCAGAAGAAATGTAGATCGATTAAGTGTATAGTCAGCATCGTGTTAGTCATCTTTTTTATTTGATATCGAATTTTAAATCGACACATTCAAGCAGATAGAACTAAATTACGTGTGCTGAGTTAAAAGTTCAAACACTTCGTTAAGGACGTAGCAAAGCTTTTCGCGAGAGGAAACGCTCGCAAACCTGCACGTCAGTCGAAAAAGACCATGAGAGCATCTCTGCTCCTGAACCACTTCCATGTACCCTCCGTGAAGCTTCACGGGCTTCAGGATTCTGCCGAAGGGTGTCTGGGTGGTAGCGATGATCCTGGGCGAGGAACAGGCTGCAATAGTCATGAGCAGCAACACCAGGAGACTCGTCAGAGTCGTCGTTTCTGGCTTGGCCATGGTTGATCATCACAGTGATCTGTGGTGTTCGCACGAGCCTCGCCTGCGGAAAGGGCTTAAAATTAGCCCTCAAGTGCCTCCTAGTTGATAAGAGAAATCTTGCCAGAAGGTAGACGCGCACTTTCACTTCTTTAAGTTCTCCCACGACCACTCGAGTTATAAGCCCGTGGTCGAAGGTCGATGACCGTTTGCTTATCCTTCCTAGAGAGTGAGTCGGTTTGGCCCCTTCGACGATAGATCGCCCTTAGTACCTGAGGAAAAATAGGTGTATTCAGAACAAACTTGAAGTACACCTCGGTAGTCTCGAGGCGCTTTTTCCGTAGCTCTTTATCTTTTTGGTTATTGGTTTTGGTTATTTTTCCATAATTGTAATTGTTTGCATTTTTAAACTGTTGATGCACCCGCCGCCTTATCGAGATTACTTTACAAGTTAAAACTCGAGGAATTCACGCGTTAATACGTAATACGCGATAATACGCTCAAGTTTTCGAATAAAAGATATTTTTTTCGTTGCGCTTTATCATGATAATGTTTTTCAATGATTCAGACTTTCGTCTGGCGGCGATAACCATTTGTTAGCGATCATGTTCTCAAAGAATGGGGGCTCGTCTAAATGCAAAACAGCCTCATATCGATCGCTCGTGAGAGATAAATATGCACCGAAAGGGGAAATATTCATCAGCATTAGTAGAGACGGACTCCTTTTCGCGAAGCTTTCTACTGAAAGACGCAGCATTTTTAAGCTAGACCGAGGTTAAGAGTTTATAGTTTAGTTGAAAGCCAGAGGATGAATAGGTGAGATGCAAAGAATAGATGAAGGAGGATAAAACGAGAATCGTGCGGAAAATCGAAGAGTTGTTTGAAAAGAAAAAAGAGACCGACGTCTGGAACCGTGCCACGAGCATGAAAAATATTAAGTATCGCGTTTCTTTGCGTTGTAATAGCTTGTTGTATCGCGCGGAGTTATATTTGTCTCACGTGATGCTTGGACGCATCGACAACCTCGCGAATTTTTTAGAACAGCAGTCGACAGTTTCATTAACCTTTTTGAATCGAATTTTTAGCACGTTGACAATACGAGTAAAATTAAAAAATGAAGCCATTTAAAAATCAAGAGCCAAAGCAATCTTTTTACTAACTTTTTTTTACAAACTAGAATCCGAATTGGTCAATTTTTTAAACGATCGTTCAACGTTATTCTATTAACTCTCTGGAATCGAATTTTTAGGACGTGTACAATTTTCTCGAGTGAAATTAGAAATTTGTCATTCAAAAAAGAGAGCCAAAGCAGTCTTTTCTTTTCGACAAACTAAAATTGTTTTAACAAACTGGAGTTAAAATTCATAAATTTTTGATTGGTTTAACCAATTCCATAATTGGAGTGGTTTAACATTATCCTTCCATCAACTATCTGAAGTCAAATTTTTAGGACTTATAAAATTTTCTTGAATGAAATTAAAAATTTGTCATTTTAAGTGCCAAAGTAGTTTTCTTCTTTTCGACGAACTTTTTTAATTTTAACTTTTTTAAACTAGAATCAAAGTTTGTCAAATAACAAATAACATTTCGTGATAAACAAATTATGTTATACAAATTATATTAGAAATTTGATTAGACATTTGATAGAAAATACATTTTTGTTATTAGTGTCAGACATAACGATATAGAATAATACGGGACACAATGTAAACGCGATCTCGCCAAAGTTAAAAGAGTCGAGCTCACCGAAGAGTTAAACTCGGCGATTCGGCGCCTCGCCGGCCACACCGCGCGCAAATCGATCTGCCTCGTGGACTTACCGTCGATCCCTCGGAGACGTTCTCGAGGATCAGCGGAAATCAGCGCTCGGCGCGTCGTGCGTCCACCGACTGCGTCGTGGATTACGTTCCTCGATCCGATCCCTTCGTCGCCCCTTTATTTTCGGCCGCGGCATCTCTCGTTCACGACGGCGCGTTTGTTGGTAGAAGCGGCAGCAGCGAGTACCCCCGTCGCGTTCAATCGGCCACGGCCAAGTTCCAGGCAGCCGGGCACCGAGACAAGAGCCACGATATGCCAACAAACTTCGGCTCCCCGTGACGGCCTCAAGGACGCGAGGATTAGAATAGTACTACGGGTAAACGCTTTCGCATTCAGTCGCGTTTCGCAGATGACGAAACGCGTCCCCGATTCGCGACGGAGAGCCCCGCCGCTCTCGATCGATGCCAGTCGATCGATGATTAATAATTGCGCACCCACAGTCGCGCTCAATTAGTAGGTAAACCAGCTATTTCGCCGCCCAATCGATTCTCGCTAATAGAAATTAGACGTTGGCCAATAGGTCTCGTTTAATGGCGCTGGTTGATTGAGTAATTCCGACAAGTACACATTGGATATGTCGGCCGAGTAATCCAGATCAGTAAGAATTATCGATGTCATCACGTCGGATTAGAGTATTTCAGGCTCAGCATTGTTGGACATTAGCTATGGAGGTGTACTCGCGAGTACAATTTCTCTCGATCGGTGCTTCGATGAAAGGTGCGTTTTGATCAGTTCGTCGCACTCTTCACTTCGGTTCAGTCACTCGAGAACGCAACTCGACGCAAAATGTTTCTTCACAAAGCTATCTTTGACTCAGCATTGACGAATTTCTTACCTTTCTCTTTTACAAAATGATGAAAATTTGAATATCAAAAATATGATGTCCTCTTCCTCGATTTTGTGAGATTTTTGAAAGCGTGACACTACTTATTTTACAATCGTGCTTGATTTCCTGCTCAACCACTCCGTGTGCGAAGACCCTTGAGACATGATTAAGGAAATCTAATATTGTCAGGCCTGGATGAATTTGCTGCGTCGTTGAAAAATCTCCTTGCTCGCGCGAGCAACAATCTGTCCTATATGAAAGTGACAAAGATATCCTAACACCGTTCAAACATCACATTAGGTTGGCACACTTCCCTCAAGAACAACTGTTGTCCAATACTCGGCCATCACACCGATCACAGGTAGAATCGAAAACCGCGGTAACATTCTAACGCTACTCTAACACCGCCGCACTGGATGGCACACGTTGGTCCGCGGTTTCCTTCCAGCATCCGTCAGAGCGACGCGAATAGATGCTAAATCCATGAATCGCGCGTGAGAGAGCGTGTGAGCGCGCGAACGAGAGCGAGAGCACCCGCTCGTGTCGGCGATTCGCCGGCGTGTGCCACCAGGTCGCCCGTGATGCCAGCTTGATGCCCGCTTACTGCTGCTCCGCAGGCATTGACAGTCTAAGCCGTGAATTCCGCGCCAACGGCGGCGGCTAGAGCGCGAGGCCCGGAAGCGGTCGGTGGCGTAGTTTTTAGGGCGGGGGGAGAACTACCCTGCCTGCCTGCCTGTCTGCCCTGCTGCCGTATGTGCTGCACGACCTCTCGGGGGTCGCGCGTATCCTCGTGGTATACACACGAGGTACCCCGCGTCGGTTTTCGCATTCTACCCTTCTGCCCGCCCCTCTTTCTTTCATTCTCTCTCTCTCTCTCTCTCTCTTTCTATCTCTCCCTATCTCTCCCCCTCGTTTGATTCGTCCCTACGCTTCCAGCAACACCACGCCAGCTCTCTTTCTTCATCGTTTCGATCCTGGCAGCTGAAGCCGACAGCTGAGGATTTTGGGGTTTTCGCGAGGATCACGCGGGATGAAGAGTAGTAACATTGGGTCGATGTTGAATAGAGAAATCGAGGTTCTTTTGGGGGTTATTACGATCAAATATGCAACAATATTTCACCTTTACGCAATTCACACGCAAAAAAATGATTTAGTAATATCAGCTAAACCGCGGTAGCTGATTCAAACTTAGTCAAAAGGCTAATCGTTTAGCTGTCACTGTTAAGAATTGGCTATGACAGCTAAGATGCATTTGCTATGAAATACAAATATATTAGGTGACATTAAAAGTGCATATTATTTCAAGTAGCTAAGAAAACGGTAGTTATTCCTAAATTTCTTATCGTATGCATATATATTAAAGAAGTTTGCCGTACAGCTACAATCATTTGTTACAGTCATTTATAGCAGTTAATATTTTAACGTGTATCAAAATTACTAGATAAATGCGATCGCGATAACTCGACACGGACATCATACGTCGCACGTAAAAAGCTTCCCACACTGCTACATATCTCGTAGAAAATAATAATATAACAAGATGTTTCCTTTCATGATTTATAGTAGAATTTTCTTTAACAAATGTGTCGAATCTTTAGCGCATCGACCTTATTTCGCAGAAATAAACTCCGAACTTAACTTTATTAGCACGCAATTTCAGTTTTCTTGCATCAGCGAAATGCAACGTGTATTTTGATACACGTTAAAGCAGTTATTATTTCTAGCAGTTAATATTTCTCGCTGTAGCGCCTAAGTTTAACAGCGAATAAATTTAGCTTCGGTAGTATCGACATTAGCTGTCCCTATTTCAGTGACACATCTTATCTGCCACAGCTATTTTTTATCTCTGGAAGCTAATTATTTTTTGCGTACAATTTTAATGTAACGTCAAATTGGCCCGAAGGAACTTAGTGTGTTGAATTCAACTTCAATTAATTTATGATAGAATCTCGATCTTAATTGCAAAGTATAGGATGAAAATTTATCACGCTTCAACTTCATGGGATCTAAAACCGTCTCGATGGTCAAAATGTATCCGCGATTGTTCCGTGAAAAGAAATTATTCATTTTCCGAGGGATTAGTCTTCCTCTCTCTTTTCCCCGTAGTTTTCAAGCCGCAATCCACGTTGGCGAAATTCATTGTTCGATCCAGAAGAGACTCCGTGTCACCATCGATCCATTGTGATCGGCACGCGCGCGCTCGTGAAATCGCACATCTGCGTCTACGACGGAAACCGCCGTCGGGCTCTCCTAGTTTCGGATGTACACCGGTTGTTATCGATCTCCATTGTCCGTGAATCAAGAAAGGCCCGTGAATCAAAAAAGACCCGGGTGTCTTGAGATTGCTCCGTGATCGAGCATCGTGACATGCGAGAAATCGCATCTGCCAGCACGAACACGTGCTATCGCCGTTTGTCGTCCTGTCGGGGGGTGAAAGAGATTCCAAGTGTTCTGTAGTCGATAGGTCGTCAAGTGGTGGCCTCCAAGTTCAGTTCAATCATCAAAGTCTTTAATATTCTATACTAAATTTAAAAAATTTTGTAACAAATACGCCCAATACCTTTGAAATCGATTTTATTTTGAGTAAATTTCTAATTTAGCAAATGTAGAAATTTCGCTAATGCAAGAAAACTGAAATTGCGTGCTAATAAAGTTAAGTTCGGAGTTTATTTCTGCGAAATAAGGTCGGTGCGCTAAAGATTCGATACATTTGTTAAAGAAAATTCTACTATAAATCATGAAAGGAAACATCTTGTTATATCATTATTTTCTATCGCCGTTTGTCGTCCTATCGGGGGGTGAAAGAGATTCCAAGTGTTCTGTAGTCGATAGGTCGTCAAGTGGTGGCCTCCAAGTTCAGTTCAATCATCAAAGTCTTTAATATTCCATAATAACTAAATTTAAAAAATTTTGTAACAAATGTACGTCCAATACCTTTGAAATCGATTTTATTTTGAGTAAATTTCTAATTTAGCAAATATAAAAATTTCGCTGATGCAAGAAAACTGAAATTGCGTGCTAATAAAGTTAAGTTCGGAGTTTATTTCTGCGAAATAAGGTCGATGCGCTAAAGATTCGACATATTTAAAGAAAATTCTACTATAAATCATGAAAGGAAACATCTTGTTATATCATTATTTTCTACGAGATATGTAGCAGTGTGGGAAGCTTTTTACGTGCAACGCATGATGTCTGTGTCGAGTTATCGCGATCGCATTTATCTAGTAATTTTGATACACGTTAAACCACAGGGAGCAACGTGCGAACCTATTCACCTTCTGGCCGGAGAAACCCCCAGCGTTGCTGCACGCGTTGTTAAAAATTAGACCGACATCTGCGGCTGGTCATGGCTCGTTTAATCCGCAAACCCAATTGATGCTTAGTCAAATTGCATTCCTAATTCCCCCGTTACATTTTGCTCGGGGAAACGCGCCGACACTTCCGTCCGTTTCTCACCCTCGAGAAAATCTTATCGATCAAACGTGATCACGCCCCGTCCTTTGCATAAATCGCTTGCATACTGTCTCGTAAAAAGCAACTGAAATTTGTAATTAATTCAAGCAAAACTCTCGTGCACAATTTGAAATTCAAGCAAAACTCTCGTGCACAATTTCTCATTTGCGAGCTATTTCCTTCAGCAAAAGTGTGTGAATTCGCGAACCCTCATGCGCTTCTTTAACAGGTTTATGTGCTCACTCGTTCCGTTTCGTTGCATAAGAGGCTACTCTTCCCCTCTCTTCCTTATCGATCAGCTGAGAGTTACGTATCGCGCCTATGTAAACGGAAATTCGCGTGGGCGACTTCTAATTTCGGTGTTCCCGCGAACCACCTCATACACACTGCGCTTTTACCATTTCCACAGTTCACCTTCTATCCTTGGCGAATATTTATCTTAGAAATAACAAACTCTGGAACCGCGAAGACACGCGGACGTTCTCAGTGTCTTTTAATAGCCGCGGCATTTATATCGCGCGGTTTTACATACGTACGTGCAGAACCACAAGTTTTGCCGTTTTTGTTTATAATCTCTTATTATATCGCGTACTATATACGCAATAAATGAATTGAACGAGGGAAAAATATATTTTAACGAAGATATAAAGAAAAAGAAAAGAATATATATTTAACGGGATTATAATCTTGAATATATTTTGATATATTATTCCTTATATCATTTTCGCATACTTTTGTCACCGCCTTCCTTCTCTTCTTCCTGTTGTTCTTTTAGTTTTAGACGTCGTGTGCAATCGTAAACAAAAGTGAACGTTTCGTTTGATCTCGTTTTTGCGAGGCACCGCCACTTGTTGAGGAAATCAGCGGGGTAAATTAGTCGAGACGGTCCTTGATACAGTTTTAGTGCAATCGATGGTTGTAGTGGCCGCGCCGTTTTATAGCTCGCGTAAAATGTTGCGCCGAGTGCGAGGGCACTTCAGCTTTCGTGCATTTCTTCTTACGTCAAGCGCCACCTAAATCCCACGCCAGGCGAACGGCGCAAACGAAAACAAGCTTAGCCGGCTCTTGTCTGCGAGCTGAAGTAAACATTTCGCGCACTCGCGAAGCCTGCGCGAAGCGCGTGAAAAATCTCATAGTAAATCAGACTTTGGTTTTATTATCCTTTCCCCCGGGGAAATTAGGAAGTGGAGTCAACAGATCCCCGACGGGCGAGGCTGAGGAAACGATAAATATTTGAAGTCTTCCCGAAGAGCGCGAATGTATTCAATCAAATTACACTCAATCGTGTTACGAATTGAGAATTCAGACTGGTTTAAAAAATACTCGCAAACTGTGATATTTACGCGAAAATCGCAATAAAAAAGTTAGCAGTTTCTGGATACACTTAAATATATCCACGGAATATATTTAGATTATTGACAAATCTTTGATTATTGTGTGTAGATTAGAAAGAGGAGGATGAGCATGATGTAAAGCAAAAAACAATGATCCTGATCTTTGTGGTGAACGTTTTATTCAATTATAGTAATAATAATCGTCATCATCGTAGTAATAATAATCATCATAATGATAAGAACAATAATAATAATACCAACGCGCGCTCGCACATGCCGCGTCGGTGAGCGACACGCGTCTCCACGTGTGTCACAGTCGCCTTTATCTTACGTGGCTCTATGCGTGGTCGCATGTGTGTGAGTGGATTTGTTTTATTAGACTCTCCGCTTTTTGTCTCCTTTGCAACAGCATTCTTCTCGAGGCGCATAATAAACTGACGAGTATTTAATTAACGCAATCCAACACGTTGATTTCGCTCTGGTCCGTGTTATGCGCCTTATATTTGTCTCTGTGTGTTTGTGGATATGTGTGTCGGTGTATGCGTGCCTATGTGTGTGTCTCTGTACTTCGTATCCATGTGTATGTGTGTGTGTCAAATGTACGAGTCGGTTGCAAAAGTGCGATGGTCTATGATACGCGTATGAACGAGCTCTTGCATATATACAGTAGTAAATTACGATTACAATTACACTGATTTACGCGTTGATGTTGAAGCGGAGACGCGCTGTCATCGCGTCGTGCGGGATGCATTTCGTCATGCTTGTCGAGCGGAGATGCGTCAAGA